GAGGGAGAAGCAGGCTCCCAAGGAGCAGGGAGCCCGATGCGGGGCTCGATCCCAGGACCCTGGGATCATGACCTGAGCCGAAGGCAGACGCTTAACCATCTGAGCCACCCAGGCGCCCACTGCTGTCATGTCTTTTTAGACCCCCCTGCATTTTGTCTTTTACGAGCCGGACGCTGTGACATCCTCCTTGCCGGTGTGACTGTCTGAGTTGCGTCTGACAGCTCGGGGGGAGGACTTTGCTGTTGCTGTCACCACCAGCCTGGAGCTCAGGCCTTGGGAGTGCTCCCTGACTCAGCCTGACTCGCTCCTGCGTGGGGGCCCAGGGTTTAGACAAGTCAGGGAGGGGCCCTTGGGGCTGCAGAGGTCCATGAGCAATGCTCCTGGGACGAGAAGGAGGGGCCACAGAGGGGACAGTGTAGCCCCGGGGTCCACTCCCATCCCCCTCCTGTCTCTGTTCTCACTCACTTATGGCACCTGTTCACTGCGTAGACACGACCAGGCCTGTGCCAGGCATCGCTTCTCCTCCCTCACATCTGGGCTCAGGCTGCCTCTGCCTCCTTTCACACCTAACTTTCCTACCTCCCCATGGGAGAAGAAATAGGATCAGTCTCTTTTCTTGTGTCCCAAGATTGGCCAGGGTACCAGAGGGTGCTTTGTGTCTGGCTACAAAACACTAGGTTTGAGGATTGCCTTATGGATTTATCTCTGCTCTACAAACATCTTTGCTCCTCCCTAAAACAGATTCTTTGCCAGCAAAGCTCCTCTGACCCATATTAGTCCCAGGAAATACAGACCGGGTCTCCCTGGTGGTGGCAAGGCTCTGGGGGACTTGGCAATGATACTGTTTCAGCAAGATCTCAGGATGTTTCTGCACTCAGACCTTCTAGCCCATTTATTCATTCCTTCAGCACATTTTTCGGTCTGCTGGGTACCAGACAGGCAGAGATGGTCTCTGGACCTCCTCCAGTCTCTCCCTGTGTGTGACTATGAGCTTGGCCACGTGTTTGCCTGGGTGACCTTGTGAAAGTTCCCTAACCTCTCTGGGTCTCAGCTGACTCTTTGTTTTATTTCATGGAGTAAGTAAGGAAATGCATGTAAAGTGCTCATCAAAATGCTGGGTGCATGGCATTGTCCAGGACCCCTTCCCTGGCTTGCATTTATCAGTAAACTCAGGACAGGTCTTGGTGGTAAGAGCCATGACCTACTGAGCATCTGCTCTGTGCCAGGCCGTGGTGCTCTGTGTGTTGTGTAGAGCAGAGCCCCTTTTCAGCTTCGTGGTGACCACCCAGCCAAGTGTTTTTATAGGTATTTCAGAGAGCATGAGTGACAGGCTCCAAATCACTGGGCTTTGGGACTCCAGAGTACTCTTTCTGTGCTGCTCTATGGGGTCTTAAATCCCCTCCAAGGCCCCCGTAGGCTTTAGCAAGCTCTGTGAAGAGGGAAGGCACAAGGCTGCTGGGAGCAGGGTGAGGGGTATGGGCTCCCCTGGTGGAGCTGATGGTAGCTCTGGGATTATCCTCATGCAGACATTTAAAAGAGGTTTCCAGCAGCAATGGTGAAAGCCAATAGGGTTTCCAATATCCAGAAAATACAATTTATCAGATAATTCCAACCCCCGGGCATTGTAATTATAGTAGTAGGGGTTTTGTTCAAAGGCTGCTTTGCATGGTGGGGGGCCTGACTTGTCAGGATTGTCACCCTGGCCAGAGCCCAGTCCTTCTATCTCAGAAGGCTGAGGGTCTGGGTGGGCCTGATTCCTTTTGCCTCCCTCCAGGTCTGGAAGCCAGGGCATCCATCTCCCTGGGGAGTGAATATCAGTTTCTGCAAGTGTGTGTGCACACTGGGGGTAGGGAGTTGGCAGCTCAAGGAAGAGAATGGGCTGCAGGGTCTGTGCCTTGGGGAGTCACCCGAACTCTCTGCCTCAGTCTCCTCTTCTGTAAAATGGCAGTAGTCACAGGACCTATTTCATAGACTTGCAGGGATTCAGTGAATGAATAGAGAACATTTAGAAGAGTGCCAGGAGGATAAGTGCCCTATAAACTAATGTTTACATGTTGCTAAGCCCAAGAAGTAGGAAGAAAGATTCCTCCCCCCAAAAGGGTCTAGAATCTTGTGAGGTTGGAGCTGTAAGTGACCTGGTCCAAGCCTGAGTCAGTGAGTGACTGCACCAGAATTAAGTCCCATCACAGGGCTTTCTCTATGGAGACTTCATCTTCTGAAACCCAAATCCAGAGCTCATACAGGGTCACATTCTCCCTAAAACTTCCCTGGTACAGCATTGCATCTGGCAGCTGCCCTCTCAGAGAAAGAAGAGCTCCTGTGTGAGTCATGCCTATGAGGCTCTTTGGGTAGACCAGAAGCCTGAGCCCAGGGAGGGATCCCACAGGTGAGTGGAGATGGCCCCTCCTGCTTCCTGCCTCTCCCCTGGGCAGGGCGCCCTCAATAGGCTCTTTGTTCTCAGGCTTTGCCACAGCCCCGCGCAGTGTTTAACTGTCCCACCATCTGGGCTCAGAGCTTTACTGAAACCACCAAGCCCTTGCATCAAACCACAAGAAGAAAACCACATGCCTTTTGAATTGGGCTGTTTTCTCTTGTTTTGTTTTGTCCTTCCTTTCTTCTTGCCTCCCTCTTCCCTTCCTTCCCCACCCCACCCCAACACACACACACACACACACACACACACACACACACACACCCTTTTTCTCCACAGCAACTTTCCCATCAAGAAGATGTTTCCTGGTGTCACGAAACAAGGCTGCTCAAGTTGTGGTCCAGGAACATGTAAGCAAAGGGGTGCCCATAGCCCTTAGGACACCCAGGGGACCAGCTAGCCCCTGTCTCAGACCTGGAAGCCTCGCCTCTGCTGCTTTTGGCACTGTTTTAAGGCAGGACAGAGCTGGGAAGGGAGCTGCCTTGGGTCAGTGCTCCTGGGGCCAAGTGGCAGTGATCCAGTCTTGTGCCCAGAGGCCTTGGGCAATGCCAGGCCTGTGGCCTACAGGGTCCAGCGAGGACTGTGGGATTAGTGCTGACGGACTGGCTCCCCTCGGAGCTGCCCACAGTCAGTGGAATTCTGGCCTGGGGAACACAGGCTGGCCTGTCTAGTCTGTAGAGTCCTTTGTAGGGTGGGTAGGGAGAGGGACAAGGTTGGTGGAGCAGGGGAAGGGGGAGTCCCATCCGTTCAGCCGGCTCCTTGGTCTCAATTCTCACTACAGGTGAGACCGTTGCAAAGTATCTTCTGAGGAAAAGATGGCAAAGTGCCTTCACAGAAAGGTGTCAAGACACCAGCCTAAAGTCAGAGCAGAATGACATGGGCTTTACCAGGGCTCATAGATTCAGTGCTTGCTGGGGCTAGGCAGGTAATTAAATATGGAAAGAACCAGACGTAAGGCATAGGATACATGGCAGGTTAGATATCTAATTTAAATTTTTTTTAATTAAAAAAAAAACTTTTTAGGCAAATAAAACGTATTTCCTGACCAGATACATTCCTCAGGCTGTGAGTTTCTTATAGACAATCTGCACTTCCACTATTCTGACCAAGACGTTGTAAGGAAAAGTATCAGAGTCCCGTGACGGCTTCTCCTTCCTTTTTTTTTTTTTTTTAAAGATTTATTTATTTATTTATTTTAAGGGGGGCTACAGAGGGAGAGAGAGAGAGAAACCCAAGCAGACTCTGTGCTGAGCACAGAACCCAACGCCAGGCTTGAACTCACAACCTGGAGATCATGACCTGAGCCAAAATCAAGAGTCAGACGTCCACCTGACTGCGCCACCCAGGTGCCACCACCCCCCTCCCAGTGAGGGCTTCTTAAAACACAGCACTGGGTTGGGCACTGCTCGAGGCAGTGTTAGAAACACGGGCTTTGGTGTCCAGCTCGGACGCTCATCCCTCACTTGCTTCATGGTAGCTGTATGATCACTGGATAGGTTACTACACCGGGCTGAGTCTCAGTTTCCTCATCTGTCAAGTGGGGATAATGGAAGCACCTATCCCCTAGCATGATGGGCCACCTCCCATGGTGGGTGTGGCTCATTCAGTGATTGCTGAGCCATCCCGCACCCACGGCTGCTAAATCCACACAAGGAGCTGAATGCCTTCTGCTGAGAAGAAGTAGTCTGGCGGACTGAGGGTTAATGTTTTCTGTGGTTCTGGTCCACAGCAAGAGGGGTGAGAGTCAGGCAAGGTCAGATCTGCACAGACCATTTCCCTGTGAGCACAGAACAAATAGTCTCTTTGCAGCTGGGCTGTGAATTTTAAATTCAGCAAAGGACGGCTGGTTGGGGCAGTTTTGCCCTGGGGTCTTGGAATTTCTCACAGACTTCTCCTGCTCACTTCCAGCTCACTTGCAGCTGGGGGTACCCTGCCCATCTTAGTAGTAGTGGCCCATTTGCCCTTGATCTTAGCAGAAGAAACGGGTCTGCCTAACTCCATGGGGTCTGGGGTTGGTGGAGGAACCCAACCTTCTGAGTGCCCTGGAGATATTTGATGGAGGGGCTGAGCACGGCTTCCCTCCCCACAGGACTGGGCACTTGCCCGTGTTACTAGCAAACTCCCTGAGGGTAGAAACCACCTGATCTGCCCCAATTGTCAGAACCCCTAATAGCATCCTGGATAAAGAACAGGCTTAGTACACACTGAAGTAACTACACCACCGACTGGGAAGCAGGAAAATGGAGACAGATTCTTCACTTTTCTAAAAGGAATTTTCCATTTTACAAAACATTTCTCTGAAAGAGTACTTCATTTTATTTATTTTTTAAAAAGATTTTATTGATTTATTTGACAGAGAGAGACACACAGCGAGAGAGGGAACACAAGCAGGGGGAGTGGGAGAGGGAGAAGGAGAAGCAGGCTTCCCGCCGAACAGGGAGCCCGATGCAGGGCTCGATCCCAGGACTCTGGGATCATGACCTGAGCTGAAGACAGACGCTTAACCGACTGAGCCACCCAGGCGCCCCCAAGGGTAGTTTAAATAGAAACTGCTTTGGTTATTTAACAGGAGATTTTGAGGACCTCAACCCTAACCGCTGGGCAAGTTGATGGGCGCTGGCCTCCCGTGCCTTCTCTTTCCCCGCCGCCTCCGCAGGTCCCCGTCCCGCGGTCCTTAATCGCAGCGAGCTCACGGTGGCCGGCTGCCTGCTCCGCGCTGTGCATGTCACCACATGACACGCTATCACAGCTGCGTCATGGCCAGCTGTTCTAACCCCCATCTTACAGCGGAGAAGATGCAGGAGCGCGAGTCCAAAATTGCTCGTAGCAGGGGCGGAGCCAAGACCCACCACCCAGCCCACCGGCTGAGCCACTGCTCAGTACCAGCTCTTAGGACGCATGCCAACTCCACCGCAAAGGCCTTCCTGACCCTCAACAGAAGGTAATGTCCCATTTCTCTGGCTCCCAGCAATCTCCTGTCCTCCCACCTCCCACTGCGCCCTGGGGGACAGCCACCCCCACCCCCACCCCCACCCCAGCGTTCACGCGGGCCTGGAATCACCTAGACAGCGGGGAAGCTCGTCCCACTCCTGCATGCAGTCCCAGCAGCTCCAGAATCCATGCCAGCCCCTGGGGGCCTCACCAAGTATTGAGTTCGCAGCCTTGTCTCCTGCCCCTCAAGAGATGGTGCTGATGCTCTCTAAGGGGGAGTCTAGCAGAAACCCAGAGGCAACAGGCCTCTGAGGACCTGGGAATTTTCAGGGTGAGGGGAGCTCATGCTATTCCGGCTTAGCCCAGGCAGCACCCTGAGGTGTCCTCTGGGGCTTCTCTAATCCTGACATGATCTGGGAGCAAGCAGGAGGCTCCACATGGCCTTATGGTCCCACAGCCACCTGCCTAGGCCCCTGAGAGGCCCCCACCAGCCCTGTGGTGCATCCTGAGTTTTGGCTCTTCTCCTCTCTTAGCCAGTGCTGGACCCACGCGTGCAGGCCTGCTGAAAGAGGGCGAACAGGTCCCAGCCCGGCTTCACCCTGATCACTGCCATGTCCTCTTACCCCTTCCTTCGTCAGTGGAGCAGAGGTAATAGTAATGAATTAAGCTGGAGCCCTTGGTGGTTCATGCTGGACCTCGCACCCCACATCTCCTTGGCTCACATGGGCAGTCCCCGGACAGTCAGCAGAGGTCATTATTATCATTCTCATTGTACATGCAAAGGAACTGAAGCTCAGACTAGTTAAGGAAAGAGGCAGGGATGCAGCCTGGACACCCATCAGAGACAGGGGCCTTGCGGCTGGGGAGAGCTTGCCTGGGTTGAGAGCCAGCAGCGTCTTGTCCCTGGGCCAGCAGGGGTGGGGCTTTGCAGCAAATCTTGGCAGCCCTTGGAGCATTCCTGGAAGGGACAGAGTCATAGGACTGGGATGAAGGTGGCCCCACCTGATTGCCCACCCCAGACCCTGCCCAGGGACTCCACAATTATGTGGGGGGCACAGGAGGTGAGTGGTTTGCTTGACTCTGTTCCAGAACAGTTGTCAGCGGCTCCCCAGGCCACATGAACTTGGCAGCCAGTTCCCAGAATGGGTCTCATGCCAACAGCACCTACATCACCTGGTGAACCAAAAGGAACTTTCCTGCAGTGCCCACTGGAGGATGGGCAGGCAGAAATCTAACTGCTGTCCTCTCTCTCTCTTTCTCAATCTTTCTCTGTCTCTTCTCATTTTACTGGGGAAGGGGTGTGGGCAGGAGGGAAGGGTAACCTTATGTCTCCCTTTGCAATCTCTGCCTTGCATTTGGAATATTCCAGCTCAAATTATCCAGGGGTCAGATTCTCTGGGAGAAATGAGATTTTACAATTCTGGGTACGAGGGTGACCCACCGTTCACCAAGATGGATGAGCCTTGTGGGGCCTCCAGACACCTCCTCCCATGCTCTGAATTATGTGCCTCTGTTCCTTTGGACACTGTCTCCCTGCCAGGCGCCACTCTCTCCATCCATCCTTGCTTGGGTCATGTGTCAACCATGAGGGGCTGGATGGGGCTCCTCGTGTCTCAGCAGCATGGGGACAACTCTGGCCTCTAGATCTGGGGTATGACAGGCCTTCAGAACAAATATTATAGCTTGTACTTGACAAGGCTTGGTGCCTATCTGAGATTTAGAATCCTTTTATTTTTGTAGAATCTTAGGTTATAGAATCTTGCCCAGCAGATGGGGAGCTTGGGTTTTCACCTCTGCACACATGTGCCCTAAATCCAGAGTTTTGGATATCCCACTTTTATCCCACTCTATCCCAAGCTGTGGGATACTTAATGGGTTGGAGATATTCGATCCCATTCAACACATATTTATGAGGAGTCTACCCTGTGCCAGGCACTGTGCTGGGCCCTAAGGATATAAGGCAAGCCCTGGGTGTGTATATGGCTGATGCCAGACCCAGAATCAAGGTGGCAAGCATCTTTTGTCTATTACACTTCTGGATGGATTTTCTCATTGTTAACCAGATCTAATATGAGAGACCCCATCAGGGAAGTTGGGCCACAGTTGGGCCACAGTTGGGAGGCTGATGGGACCTTAACCATGGCCACTCTTCTTGGGACTTTCTGGATTGCTTCATCCTTGAAGGTCCAGTTCAAGTCCTACCTCTGTTGTGAAGTTTGCCATTCATTCATTCATTCGTTCACTCATCCATTCTTTCAGCCAGAAAATAGAGTGCCAACTGTGTGATAAGAATAGGTCGAAATACAAAGATTCTAGTAGGGCATTCTAGTAGGGCAGATTCCTCCATTCGACAAATATTGACTGAGGGTCCATCAGGGTCTGGGCACCACATTTGGCTCAGGGCATAATAGGGCCAGGAACTCGACAGATGTGGGTCTTTCCCTTCCAGTGCATTGAACCCGGTGAGGGACACAGACACTTAACTAGCCAATCCCACGACACTGTGCTCAGGGGCACAGTGGAGGGAAGTTCAGGGAGCAACGGAGCACACAGATCGGCTTCTGCCTCCAGGCCAGAGGTGGGGACTCACCTTGTACCTAAGTAATCACAAGAGGAGGTGGTGATGGCTCAACCCCCCCCACCCTACCCCCAGAAGTGCTGATTAGGATTAGAGCTCCTCCAGGTGTGGAGAGGGCTTCCTTGAGAGGTGAGCTTTGAGTTTGGCCTTAAAGCTTCCAGAACAACTCCAGCCCGCCCTAGACTTTCTCCAGAAGCACTCTCAGGCTGTGTCATAAAGTTAACTCAATTTTTAATGCTGTGATTGCACAATTACTCTCCGTCTTGCTTTGTCCTGTTTCACATGTGTGTCCTCTGCCCACCCCTTATATCATCAACCCCTGCAAGCCTCTGGGCTTTTCTTGGGTCCCCCCAGACCGGCTTGGTGCTGGGGACTGGACAAAGTGCACACGTGTGTGAGCCTGGATGGGGGGGCAGCCACTCCTCGCTGCCCCTTGATGCTCTTCCGGGGACACACAGTGCCCGAGGGAAATCAGTGCGGTGCCTGGAGCTGGGGACTTTTAAGTAGGTTCAGGGGAGGCTGAGCCTAGGCTCTGCCCAGGAAGGGTCTGTAAATAGAGCAGATGAACATTGTCATCACAGCCTGCGAGAGCATTCGCTTAGGCTTTAGATTATTCATGTATATTGGGAACTTTAACTGAATTAAGCTTTGAATAAAAAGGACTCTATTTTCAGAACAGCTGTGAGGACAATTAAAGGACAGCATTCCCCCCCCACCCCCCGAGATCTGCCATCAGAACACGTGCCTTCATTTTGGAAGTCACCACATGTTCAAGTCATGCGGTGCAGAAGCAAGAAGTGAAAGAAGGGTCCTGCCCCCCTCAGGGGAGCACAGGTGGCCACGGCTTCCCAGGTGCCCGGAGGCATACTGGGGGGCCGTGGTGGGGGTGGCAGGCCTCAATGCCAGCTCCTTGGTCAAGGTCTTTGGGACAGGACAAGCCAGGAGGCCTAAACTCAGGCTTGAGTCCTATGGGGAGACGGGGGACTGAGCTAAATGGTTTTCCAAGCCCTCCTGCTCTGAACTTTACCAGTGGGGGGTATTGCCCCAGGCTCCTGGTCTGAAGACCTTGGCAAAGAATGTTCCTACTGCTCCTAAAATATCTTCCCACCCATCTGCTTCTATGCTTGATATCACCTATAAAAGAGGTTCATTCTTTTAGGTGAGGATGTGTTTTTCCTGGAAGTTCTTTGCAAAAACACAACTCCCTCTGGCAGGCAGCGGGCCTCCTTCGTCGTTCGATGCACACCTACTATGTGCCCAGCATGGGTGTAAGAGCTGGGGACAGAACAACAGCCAAACCAAGCCCCCGCTTTCTCGGAGCTTCCCTTGCAGAAGGGAAGACAGACCGTAAACTAATATATAGTCAGGGAGGTTGGGCTGGTGAGAAACGTACAGCAGGGAGATGGGGCAGCATGCTATTGCATGTAGGGTGGTGGGAGGGAAGGTCTCTCTCTTAGCTCAAAGCTTTCGGCATGACTGCAGCCCACCCTGGTCCCACCTTCTCTCTCCGGCTATAGAGGCGCCCTGGTTGTCTCCTAGAGTTAACTCAATTGTTTCGGCTGTGATCACATACTTCGTCTCTATTTTGCTGAGTCCTATTTCATGTATGTGTCCCTTGCCTGCACCTTATGTCATCAGCCCCTTTACTTTATTACTTATTATTTATTACAGTGTCTCTGGACGCTTGAACAGAGACCCGAGGAAGGTGAGCCTGAGCCAGTTGACTCTCTGAGTGAAGCTTCCAGGCAGAGGAACTAGCCAGTGTCAAGGCCCTGAGGCAGGGGATGTGGCATCTTGGGAACAGCCAAGAAGCCAGAAAGCTGGGTGCAGGCTGGGGTGGAAAGGGGCAGTGGTAGGTGCTGAGGTCAGATCGTGGGGCCATGCAGGCTGTGCAAAGGGCCTTTGGGTTTAATCTAGTGGCACAAGAAGCCATAGGAAGCCTCTGAGCAGAGGAGGGACCCATAATTACAGACACTCATTCGCCATGACCACCTTGGGTGTTGTGTGAATCTTGGCTAGAGAGAAGGGTGGCAGGGCCTGGGGGGCACCAAGGGCATTTCAGGCCAAGTGAGGGACCTGGGACTTTTTCATGAGGTCAGTAGGGATCCATGGAGGACTTTAGAGTAAGGGAATTAGTCCTACCCCTCATCTTGGAATAGAGTGTGCTAGGCACAGAGAAGGGAGGTCACCTATCCCAGAACACACAACTGGATAACAGTGAAACTGGGATGAAAAGCCAGGTCTTCACATACCCATTCCACTACAGTGTGAGGTTTTTCCTGACTAAGGAGAGGAGACATTTATTGTGCATTATACTAAGTACCACATGCTGCTCAGGTGCCAAGCCATTTGATTTCTAAAACAACCCTAACAGGCGGACACTATTATTATACCCATTTTACAGACAAGAAAATGAGGTACAGGGTGGTTAAATAACTTGTCTGAAGTTACATAGCTCATAAGCAGTAGAGCTGGGATTTGAACCCAGGGAGCCTGGATCCAGAGTCCATGCAGTTAGTCAATGTGCTTACAGGGCCTTGCTAAGGCTTTTGGAAATGTGGGGATGTGAAGGTGGGGGCGGGGACCCAGGACCAGTTAACATGGTGTTTCCAGGGCTCCAGACTTGTCTGGCCTCAGGTCCCGTGCTTTTGTGCTAAGCCCTAGCATTGGTTAGAGGACTGACTGGCTGTGAAACATGGTGTTGGCTCTTGTGACATCATCCTAGATCCGATGGGGGCCATGCTGCTGTTCCAGAGGCCGGAAAGGGCTCTGCTCTGAGACTTTATAAAGAGACGTTTCCTTGATTACTTCAACCCTTGCTGTCCTGAGCTTTTCTCTTGGCTCCAGATGGCCTTCCACATGTATTTCCTGGATCCAGGGCTGACAGCACAGCAGGGCGATAGTAGGGACAGTGCCCGGGGGCTCTCAGAAACTTCCCCTTTCCCTGCCCACCCCAACCTCTGACCCACCTGCTGGATGGAGGCCCCTGGAAGAGCTCAACCTGACTGCGCAGGAGAACTATCTAGAGAGTTCATAGAAAGTCCTAGTGGCGGGGTTCTGCCCCCAACCAGATGCATCCAAGTCTCCAGGGTTGGCCTCAGGCAACAAAGGGTAATTTATAAAAAGCCTGCTGGGTGATTCTAATCTGCAGTCGAGTTGAGAATTACTGGCTTAGACCAGTCTCCTTATTATATACAGAAAAAGTGGCTTGTCCACAGTCACATGGCCATCAGTGGTAGGACGGGAATGGAAATCCAGATCTTTGACTCCTAGAACCAAGTCCTTTTCCAAAAGAAACATAGGTTGGAAAAGGCAAGTCACCCTGGGAGAGGCACTTGAACATCAGTGCCCATAGATTTTTGGATGGTGGGGAGTGCGGTATGAGGCTGGAAAAGTGGGCTCAAGGGAGGGGAACAGCCTTGAAAAAAGCCCAGGGGGCCTGGGACAAAAGCTGAGTTTTCCCAACATCCCGACCCAGCCAAGGATGGGCACGGGCAGAGTTGCAGACAACAGCAGTGTAGCTTGGAGGAACGGGCCACAGATCCTGCCCTCTGGTCGAGAAGGAAAGCATGTGGACAGCTTCCATGGAGGGTCGGGAGCAGGCAAACTTCAGCCAGAAGTTCAGCAACTATTCAGTTGAGACAGGCACGTTCACCAGAAATGGCTTTCCTAGTGCATTTCACACATAGAAGGAGACTGTCCTTTCCCACTGAAGAGGGATGACGGTCCTTTCCCTTTGAGGCCCCAGCTGTGGGAGACAGTGAAGGAACAGGAGGGGGTGGGAGGTGGGTTGATGCAAAGGAGAGATGGCCCCCACAAGGAAAATTTGCAGCTGCTTTTTTATCCATGGGGTCCCCAGTGCCTTTAGAAGATCCTGGGTGCCCTCTCTGTCATCAACAGTCCAGAATGCCACATCTCTTGGGCAGTTTGATGATATGAATTACCCCAATTAAAAGAACGAAGGGGATCAGATTCGGGATGAGAATGATTCCTTCCTCAAGCTCTGGATGCACGCCAAAATCCCTAGGGGGAGGTTTGAGTTTGTGTTGGCAAAGGAGAGCCTGGTAGAAATCTCTGCCCCGGATTCTCATACCTTCCCCCTTCCTGCCTGCCCGTTTTCCTTGTGTTAACAGGTGCCAAGACTTTCCAGGGACAGGCCACCAGAGGGCACCCGTAGACAGAGCCCGGGAGGACGCTCGCGGTGGTTGGCATGGCAGAGGGAAAAGCCTGCACGCAAGCTGAAATACACCGAGCAGGCCCGGGAAATGGGAATGTGGCATCAGAAGCCACACCCAGCCCCTGGCCTTTTCCATACAATGGCCATGACCACCCACCCTTCCTGGTGGATACCTCTGTGGCTTATGTACCAAAACAATACCTGTAGGATCTGGCTCCGTGACAAGCTGGGATTATGTTTGTCCTTGCTTCCAAGATTAATTGGAAAAAGTCAAGTCCTCTGTACCTGTGCAAAGATCATGGCTGGAAGGACCTACAGATACCACTTCATTACCCCACCATGAAGGCGCACTGACCCAGGCCCCAAATTAAGGATCTGAATCCTGGTGACAATGGCCAATGATGGTTTTAGCTCAAACTTACATATATATGTATATATATATATATACACACACACACATTTTTCTTGTACTTATCATACCGAATGAGAATTACCTGCTTATTTACACGTCTCCAGAACTCAACAGGGTTGAGCCAAAGCCGTATTTTATGAGTCTCTGTTCCCAGTTGACCCAAAGTCCATGTCACACATATATAGACCATTTGGTCCATTTCTCCCGTGAGGCCTGGAGGACACAAGCAACACGATGCCTGATTGGATTTCGAATGGAGAAAGCTTTTCTATTCCATGGCCTGGAATTTCCAAATGGGCTGGTCCATGAGTCTAGGACAGAGGTCAGCAAACTACAGTCCTTGAGCCAGATCTGGGTCATTGCCTATTTTTGTAAATAAAGTTTTATTGGAACACAGCTATGCCCATTCGTTTAGGTCTTGTCTGTGACTGTTTGTGCTGCTGCAGCCGGGTTAAGTAGTTGCAGGAGAGCCCATGTTGCCCACCAAACCTAAAATATTTACTATCGGGCCCTTTATAGAAAACGTCTGCTGAACCTGATTCTAGGAGAGCAAAATGGCGCCTGAGGATCTGGCTGGCAGGGGGGCTCCTCCCCTGCACTCTGAAGCACAGGGAAGAAGGTGGTGCTACCGAAGCCTCTCAGAGCCATGCCCCAGGTGTGCCCAGTCTGCTCTGGGGCTCAGAGCCTTGCTGAGGAATGGAGGGTCTTGCATGTTCCTGGCGTTCGGCTACAACGCTGGATTCTCCTAGCTCGGCACAGGAAGGGACTGGCCCTCTTAGGGCAACTCTGTTGTCTCTCTCTAAAAAATTCACCCATTTAAAGGGTGCAATTTAATCCATTGGCTCTTTACCTCCTTGGCCTACAGCTTTTTTCCTCCCCACTTCCTGAGGCTACACCTGTATTCACTCGTTCTCTGTAACTAATTCAGTGAATTCATTCACACTTGAGTGTGAGTGAGTGATAACAGTATGATCACCTGACTCATCCCATGTTGTATCCTTTTGTCTCAGGTAGGGTTTTCCAGAAGGGGAGGCTGATACGGAGTTTGAGGGGCAGAGGAAGATGTTGAACAGTGATGCGGACCCAGCAAAGCCTCGGGCAACCTAGCCCTGAAGTGAGCAGGCCCAGTTACACCCCCGCCTCTTCTTGTCTAAGCCCCAGGGGAGGAGGCTCCCTGGAGCTGAGGCCGACCCAGAAGAGCTGACCTGGAGGCCGTCTCCAGCCCTCACTGCACACACCTGGGCAGCGGGTCCTTCCTCAGAGGGACCTAGGAGCCACATCTCCGTGTGCACCTCACTCTGTCACAGGATGCCATTGCCCAGTGACCAGCTGGCTCCTGCCTCTACTCTCCCAGGATCAAGGCTCTCACTTCCCACTGAGGCAGCCCACCTCCATTTCACAAGGTTCTACATTCTCCTCTCCTGGGCCCAAAGCTAAAACAGGTAAGCACTTGTCTGGGTCCTGCCCTCTGGGGCTACACAAATAAAAAAAAAAAATCATCCCTGTGACAACTGGGAGTATCCTCCACCCTACCGTCTACTCTGGTCTCTCTACCCAACCTGTGTGAGATGCCCATCATGAGCTCTGTTTATGCTGTGGCCTGTTAGACCAAGTCCCACTGAGGTGTGGTTCCACCTCTGAGTGCAGCTTTCCAGGGGACCTGCCCAGGGTTGGGACCCACAGAACTGTGTCCTTCTGATTCTGGAGGACACAGTCGAATCATGCTGTTGACTTGATTAAGGTTGACCAAAGTCCTCTGCTGTTCTCACCAGCTACTGCTCATCTAACAGCCGGAGCCATTTTGCTGGGACTGGCTTCCCAAACCCAAATATAAAGAACCTTATCCTTGTCTTACTTTGTCCCAACTTTCAGGCTCTTCCCAAGGGAATGGGCATTTTAACAGAAAAGAACGAGTATCTGATGAGGGAGTTCTGGTTGGATAAAAAGACAAATTTTTAGCCCTGGAAGCTCTGGTGTCCGTGAAAACGCTTGAAGATAGGTATTTCAGCTCGAACAACTTCAGCATGAAATGCTTTGCTGGAGGGTCACTTTGTTCTAAGACTGGGAGATGAAAATTTCTATTGTAAAGAACCTAGTGATAATATAGAAAAGAATGCAAAATTTACATGAAATTTTAAGGGAAGTAAGAGACTTCAGAGTCATTTCACACCTCCTTTGGGTAGCCCTTGGTCCACCCCAGGCCTCCCTGGAGCAAGCTTGTAGTCAATCTCCAGTCAGGGGGTACTTAATGCAGAAAATTGTCCACTCCAGGTATAGATGGCCACTCAGGGCCAAGACACACTGACAAGAAAACCCACCAAGCGATAACCAAACCAACACACCACCTGCCATTCTAGTCTCTCAGAGATCAGTTAGTGGATTCCTTTGTTTTGCAAACAGTGAGAGGAAATCACTTGCTCAAGGTCGCTGATGGGACCAAAGTCATGGTGCCCTGATTCTGGGTTGCACTCACGGTGTTTAATATGGGTATTGCCAGGGAGGGGCTATGAGGCTGGAATGTGAAGGTGGGAAGGAGCTTCTCATGTTCTGTTCCAGGTGATTATGGGGTAACAGGCCTAGGCACAGATGGAAGCTTCCAGAACGGGAGCTGCATGATACAGAGATAGGTAGAAGCTCCCTGAAAGATCTGGCAGCAGCCATAAAGACATGAACTGGTCATGGGGAGCCTAAGTCATTTGGTTACAACCCTGCAGCTGATTGGCAGGAACTACCATGGGCCATACATTTCATCTCTCTACCTAGAAGATGGTCCATTCTCATTTTTCCAGCTTGGGTTATGTGCTCTTCTTTTGTTTGGATATTCAGGTTTATTAGTGTGAACAGCATGTTAGTTATGTGTCTAACACTGTTTTATGGTGTACAAAAGAACCGTAAACTATCCTTGCCTATAGGGGGGCTTGTAGTCTGGGTGAGACATGATCTACATGCGAACTAGCTAATGAACACAGTATCTAACTGTGGAACAGAAAAAAGAGAACTCTCCCTATGGGTTGGGTTAGCCTGGGTCAGCTGCCCCGGGATTCACCCCAGATCCCTTCTCTATGTGTGAAGCTAACGTCACAGCCACCTTCCATGACTTGAAGAGGAGGCTAAACTTCTTTACCAAGTCATTTCAGACGGTGGAATTTCTTTCCCCTGATCAGTTCTTACAGAAAACAAGGAGGGTCTCCCCTATGTCCCAGATGACTGTTTTCTTTGATCCTATCCCTGGGGTGGAGCTCATGACCCTGTCATTTGGCAAACAATGAGGAAATCCAGTGGGATTGGGGTTTCCAAAGGCTAGCGCATAATCTCTGCCTTGGAGAAGCAGCTAGTAATCTAGCTGAGAGAAGGCTACCATGAACTTGAGAACAGTAAAGAATGAAGGCTGTGGCTCAGACTGGGATCGGGAAAATAGTTCTTAGATGGGAAGGATGATGGCGACTGAGGAACTAGGGAATCCTTCCGAAGCGGGGTCATTTGTGCCCGGGTCTTGGGGCACCAGGACAAGAGTACCAGGCTTGGAGTTTGGGGTGCATGTTTAAATGGGGGTCACTCAAATTAGTTTTGCAAAGGGACCAGTTCCTCTGCCCTCCCAATTCCCCACCTGAGGTGTCTCCAGTGCCTAACAGTTGTATTACTCCCTAAAGTCAGGAAAAGTCTACCCTACCAGCATGCCTTTCCTCAGACTGGCCCCACTTTGCGGCCTTTACTGGCTCTTTCCCTACAGTTGTGAGTCTCTGTAGCTTCCCTGGGCCTCAGTTTTTCCACATATAGAACAGACAGGAGGTTTATTCCCCTGCCCCTTTCTAAGAAGATTGGGAAGATAAATGGCATAATAAAGCAGACCAATCCGACATAGGCCTGGTGAAATATTATGCAGGAAAACTTCATTCAAGCTCTTCTTCGTCTGTCAAGCATGGCCATAAAGACTGCTAGAAAAAGAATTTCAGACAAGCTTTTTTTCTCATTCATTCCACAAAAATGAACATTTTTGAGTCCAAAGAACAGAGGAAGGACAGCACGAAGCAAGTCTACAAGCGACGGTCCCTGTCACCTTTCCTGAGTGGAGTATCCCTCAGAGGAGCGGTCGGCGGAGGACGTGGCACTTGGAGTTGGCTCGGCTGCTAGGCCAGACCACAACCAAACCAGTAAATGCTTTTTCCAGACACTGCAAACCAGGCTTTCTGGGCTGGAGAGCGCAAGACGAACTGGAGGAGGGTCAGGAACCATCTGAAGACTGATGTCCCCTTTCCAAAGAAGAGGCCAGAACACTTTCAGGACGAGAGCCTGGGAGGAGCCAGGCTTTGGAAAAGTTGGCATGAGATCTACCTCTTGCCCCCGGGCCTGGATCTGAGCAGGGTCCTAGAGTCTTGGCAGGAGACAGTGTTTCGATTGGCACTCGCTGGCGTGAAGGAGGAGGCCGAGCGGGGCCGGACATCCTGTGCCAGCTTGGGAGGGCTGGGAGTGCCTTGCAGAGGAGTCCCGAACCCTGAGCACACACAATCCCATCGCTTTTATTCAGCACAAAAGTGCTGGCTCTCAGGTGAGCGCCAGATGTGGCTTTTAAAGAACACACAAAAGGAACATGAGATTGCGACAAACAGAATCCCGTGCGGCATTGGGCTTGGGTGGAGTGGCCGTCATCGGCCATCCTCTGCAGGTCTGAATTCATTTCAGCCACCTTCCTGTTAGAGAAATCAGCCACTGGGTCTGCGCACTGCCTCCCAGAGTTGGATTTGGAGGGCAGATGGGGCTGATTGTCCCTTGTTTCCCTGAGCCTAGAGGGGGCCAAATAGGGTACAGTTGTGACAAGGTCTCTGGATTGGGAGTTGGGGGTTCTGGAATAAAGTCCTTTCTAGGCCACTAAATGGAATATGGCTACAGGCAATCGATTCCTTCCCTGGCTGGCTAATTCTAAGTTTCCTTTTGACTTCAAAATTCTAAACAGGGATGTTCCAAGTGCAAATGAAGATTCTATTTTTATTTTTATTTATTTATTTATTTATTTTAAAGACTTTATTTATTTGAGAGAGAGTGAGAGTGAGAGAGATCACAGAGGGAGACGGAAAGGGAGAGGGAGAAGCAGACTCACTGCTAAACAGGGAGCTCAATGCGAGGCTCGATCCCAGGACCCTGAGATCATGACCTGAGCCAAAGGCAGACGCTTAACTGACTGAGCCACCCAGGCGCCCCGAAGATTATATTTTTAATATGAGCAGGGGGTTGTCAACAATCTCCAGTAAAGGGAAAGATTTTCTCAAATCTGTAGACATTTGATGTCCCTTAAACTTGTTATCTGTATAATAGATATAGTTTAAAGACCTTTCTAGTTGGAGCTGGGTAGACAGTTCAAGAATAAAGGAGGTTTATGGGATCCCACGTAAGGTCAGGGCAGGTCTTGCAGAGGCTGGAGCTTGACACTGGAAAGTTATTTGGGTTGCAGACTGCCTCCTGCTCTCTCTACTGTAAGTTTCTTCTGCTGACCCAGAGGCCCTTCTCCCTCATAAATGTCTTTGATGGCTTTGGCTCATCAAGGTGCTGACTTCACCCTCCATTTTCCCTTGAAACCTCTCCCCTGCCCACTTGCCACCGCTCAATGGACAGACACAGCTGTGGGTCAGGCATCCATCTTTGGTCTCATCGACCTCCATGGGGAGGGAGAGTAATGTGGCTCCTGGACTATGGACTGGGAAGCTCCTCTAGAAAGAACTGGGATGGGGAGCACAGAAAACCTATCCAGGATAGGAACCACTTGGCCGCTTGGCCCCACTCCACACTAGACATCATCTCTCCATTTGGCTCCTGGGAATGCACATCTTGTGGTTCTTCTCTTTCTCTAGGGGTTACTTTGATAGATCCTTTGATGGACTTCTCTTGCTGCCTGTCTTAGAGGTTTCGGAGCTCCCCAAGGTTCTGTCCTTGATCATTGTCTTTGCTAGGTCCTCAATAAAGGACCTAGTATGTGCCAGCCACTGGGATACAGTGGAAAACAAGACACAGCCTCCACCTACCCAGGATTTACAGCCCAGCGAGGAAACAGGAAGTGGCTGCAGTCCATGACAACAAGTCTGTGATGGGAAGGGAGGAGAGGGTAACAGCGGCACGTAGCAGGGGTCTGAACACCATCCACCAAGGCCTTTTTCAGTCTGTTTCCAGCTCCCCTTCTCTCTTGAACTACAGATCTGCATTTACCACTGCTTACTAGCCAACTCCACCTATGAATTCTCGAGTTCTTTTTATTTGGGGTTGGGGGGGTGGGGAGGGGGAGAGGGAGAGAGAAGAGAGAGAATCTTAAGCAGACTCCACATCCAGTGTGGAGCTGAAGTGGGGCTCAATCCCAGGACCCTGAGATCATGACCTGAGCAGAAATCAAGAGTCAGATGCTTAACTTAATGAGCCACCCAAGTGCCCCATCCACCTGCAAGTTCTGTAGCAGCTT